GGGACGCGGGAAAGTGCGTTGGAAAGCGGGTGTGTCCCGCCAAAAGCGGGACGTCTGGTCACCTTATTCCTACCTCTTTACCTCCTTCCTGCCTCCCTCCTTCTCATTCCCATATTTCCTCTCTCCCTCCCTCCAGGAGGAGATGAGGGGAGGGGGAGATGGCGGCAGCACTGCTGGTGGCTGTGGCTCTCCCACGTGAGGTGGGAGGTGGAGCCGTCCTAGTGAAAGAAGTGCTTATGGACTGTGGGGCCAGCAGGTGAGGCTGGGCAGCAAGCAGGCCATGGAGGCAATGGAGGCCCTGGTGGGGCACAGTGGGTGCCCTGGAGGCCCAGCGCTGCTGCTGGAGCTCTACATGCTCTACTACAACTGGAAAATGGTCAGTCTGTGGGGCAAGACGGTGCTCATGACAGGTCAGCTGTGTGCCAGCTCTCACATGGTCACCACATCCTGTGCACATGCCATGGGAGAGTGCCCGGCCAGACTGGGGTGGGTCAAGGCCAAGGTGGTGGGGGCCAACCCCTTGCCATCTCCAGGCCAGCCCCGTGGACAAGATCTAACCATATAATTCAGAGCATTCAAGTATGAATTAGCAGAAACATTTGAAGTTTTTAAACTATTGAACTTTTGCTGGGCATCTATCTCAGAGCTGCAGGTTAAAACAGGCAAAAAAAATTACATGAAGTTTTACAAAGATAGGTAATCAGAATTCAGGATTCCATTAAATAAACCACTAATTTATTCTTGCATCAAGATTTACAAAAATTATGCTCATCAGATAAGGAATATCAAAAGGACACAGTTGGGCTCAACTATTACAGTCTTCTCTGAAGCCAATATGAAATGAATCAAGATACTTTGCTTCCTCCACAATTGCTGATAGTTGTGTGGTCACCATATTTTAGAAGTTGAAAATTATTCTTAATACTAATATTATGAAAACCAGAAAATATACTGTATATCCTGAATGTCATCTAAGAACTCAAAATAATTGTCGTGTAATGGTTTCAGTTAACTAGTTTCACAAGGGCAGACATACTTAGCTTTAGTACTTTGTTTCTAATTAAAAATCTTGTATTCTTGTGATTAAAGAAAGGGAGGAATAGGTTATTACAACTAAAAATAGCAGTGAAACTGAAGAATGGATAACAAAGCATTCCAAGCCTCATTGTCTAAATGTCCAGAATCCAATTGTTACTATACTGATGAACCTACTTTAATGGCTTTACTGGTCTTCCAAGTCTTGCAAATTAGCAGTTCTACAATGATGGATCACCCATTAAGAAGCAATACATCCCCATCTTAGGAAAGATTACAAATTTAGAAGAATGCAACTGTGCAATGTGTCAGGTAGAGACGAAGGAAATGTAACAACAGGTACTCAGAGAATAGGTAGGGCAGGGAAAAGGCAGGAGGAGAGAAGGTTAGATAGATTACTTGTGAGGAGAAAGCCTCAGGCTTCTTGATGGGCTGCACCAGAAGCTGGCTATTTAGCACAGCAGATAGATGGAAGTGATGATGGAAACAACGTGTTCATTTCCTAACTGCGTTTTCTGGTCATTGTGATTCTTGTCTTGCTTTGGATCATGCCTTTTGGACTCTGGACTTTTCTTGCCTCATGAAATCTCTTGTATTGTGTATTTAATTTTGCCTGGTGGATTAATTTTGATTGGGAAACTTTCAAGTGCCTTGTGGACTTATTGGCCATTGCTCTGAGGACTAGCATTGGTTTGCTTGTGGCTGGACTTAATAGGGACAGTTCTGGATTTTTGGTGAAAGACGTTCCTGGGGAATATTAATAAATCCACGAAACCACAGTTAGGTGTGTATGAGACACCCAGCCTGCAGGCCGCCAATTTGGCATCCCTGCTCTAAAAGAATGCAAGTAACCTGCTGTCTGCAAGAATATAAATTCTTCCATTCCCCACCATCTACTCAGAGCTGAAGCAGCTACTTGAATGAGAAGTGAAACATGTCAGAATATTCATGAACTGGCAGGACATGGTAACAAGATCAGCCAATATATAGGCATGGCAACTGAGTCAGCCAATGGGAACTATTTGATGACTGAGAGCTATGCCAGATGGCTCGGGTGGGGATCTCTTCCAAGCTCTTTCCCCTCGGTACTGGTTTCTGGCCATGTCAATCTCCACTTCTTTGGCCAGGATGTACCAGTCATGTAGGTGGTCTGGGGCCTCTCGAGCCAGGCAGGAATGGTAGAGATCGTCATTCAGGCAATCTTTGAACCAGATCACTAGGATGTCTTCTGGCCAGTCCACTCTGCAGGTGAGATCTTAGAACTCTTTAGTGTATTCAACTACCAGCCAGCACCCGTTTCACAGTTCTGATGTGATCGCAAGCTAGCAGAGAGCCATCATGAATCGGCCACAGTTCAGGGGTGTCAGCATTGTGGAGGGTCACCATTCAGCGGGCAGCTGCCCCTTCCAAGGTGAAGAATTGGACCTGAGCGCTCTGGGTCTGGAAATCCTTCCTGTACTCCTGCCTATACATGAGGACATGCGCCAGGAAAAAACCCAGTTGCTGCGGGTCGCCATAGTACTTCACTCTAAAGTGGGGGTTTTCCTCTCTAGTTGTGGCACTCTGGGCTGGCCAGGAATGATTGCAATGGCTGGTGGTCTGCAGGGTGGGTTCACCTGGATGGCTGCTACCCCCACTGTCACGTCTGCTTGTCCTGCTGCTGCTGGATCTGCAGCAGCGGCCCCAGCCTCGTTGGTTGCTGCTGCTGCCTTGATTCTGGTGTTGATCTAATCCCCCCCCCCCGGTTCTGATGTTTTCAAGAGCCTCCATCACGAGGTGCATAACATTTCTCTTGAGGTGGTCATCTCCTCCCAGTTCTTCAATCGGCTCTTCCTGATTGGATAGGGCTTCTAGAGTGATCCCTCGGATTCTTCCATCCCAGTTATCTTTCTTCCCCACTCCAATCAACCATCAGGGCTTTGTGGGGGCCTCCAAACTGGACTTGATGTCTTTGATGGGGCAGAAGGAGCTGGCTTCTGGCTGGGGTTTCACCCCAGCATTCTCCCTCTCCTTGCTCTCTGCTTTGCTTGGACAATGTATACAGGGTCCCTTCAGAAGAATGTTGGCTTTTCTGGGTTGACCAATTTTTCAGACCCTGCTTTATGTAAGGTCCTGACTCTACTCCCCAATCAAGAAAGTATGGACTCTGTGATAGCAGTATTTCAAAATGAACCCTTTATTGAAAGGGAGTGATTGCAAGACAAAACCAATTCAGGGTCTGAGTTCTCCCCAGGCAATTCCATTAGGATAGAAACCCCTCAGTTCGATGTTGAATGAGCCAATCCACAGGTGTGAAGATGTTGTGGAAATGGACATCTTGAGCAAGATATAAGGATTCGTTCCAATGCATTTCTTCTGTGAAGCTTCCAAACTGAAAGAGAACAGATGATGCTCTCCCCTTGTACATCCGCCAAGGTAGTGGTGAAATCTAAAAAATTTCCTACTGGTTCTGTGGGCATGGCTTGGGGGGAGGTTCATGTGACTGGGTGGACATGGCTATGTAGTCATGTGATTGGGGTCAAAAGACAGAAACTCACTTTAACAATGTCCTGTGGAGCAGGAGGTT